GAGTAGAGGCAGGGCAACATCGGGAAGGAGTGGAGAGAGAGAGAGAGAGAGAGAGAGAGAGAGAGAGAGAGAGAGAGAGAGAGAGAGAGAGAGAGAGAAGGTTGGTTGTGCGGTCCAAGGAGGAAAGTGGCGGCCATAGCCGCCGAGCTCGGACACGAAGAGGAAGACGAAGGAGTAGACTAGAAGGGAGAAAGAAATTGAAGGAGGAAGAATGGAGGAGGAAGGAAAAAAAAGCCATAGACGGGGGTGAAGGTGAAAAGGCAACGGAGGAGAGAGAAGCCATAGCCAAGGGTGAAGGTGAAGAGAGAAAGAGGAAGGTGAAGGTTGGTGAAGGAGAACGGGTTGGCCGCCATATCCGAACTTACTGAAGTTGACCGGAGTGTTGAACGAGGCATTAACCGGAGCATTGACCAAGGTGTTGACCGCCAGAGCGTTGACCGAGGCATTGACCGAGGTGTTGACCAGCGTTGACTAGGGCCATTGACCGAAGTTTGACCAAGCTGGAGTTGGTATAATTTTGTCAAGCCTTCAGCCTATTCCCTCGCCCTATGGATGTGCACTCACCTTGTGGTACTTGCTGAGTCTGTCTGTCTCTTCTTTCTGCATTGAGTCTCTTCTGTCCAGGTGATCGGCAATTCGTGTATGTGGTCATAGAGCTGTGTTGACCAAACCCACACGGGCTGAGTAGGGCTGCTTTCCATGTCTAACGACTGACACGTCCCGGAGGCCTAACCCTTCCAAGGACAGGTACAGACCGACGGGCTGCTCAATGTGGCATGGTTGGCCCAAAATCCGATCTGTGGGCTGCACAACCGGCTGTCTATGTCTTGAGAGGACTTGCTGATCACGCCTTCCTGTCTGCGACGTTAAAGAATTCCTGAGGAGTTATGGGGGATCTCCTTAAAAGGCCTCCTGATCAGCAGTGAAGTCCTGTAGTGACAGCCATAGCCATAGGTCTAGGCTAGAGACCCTAGTTGACAGGGTTTTGAACTGGAGTGAAAGCCAGGTGGGTTGACCGCAGGTGCAGGGCATCTGGGTTGAGGATTGTAACGGACAGTGGTTGTGAAAGCTTCCGTTGGCTGTGGTAACCTGGCTGGAACAAAGGGAAGGACTCTATGGTCCATAGAGAGTCAGTTAGTGGGTGGAAGCTCAAGTGGTGAGGAGTGGAACTTTTACCTAGTTGTGCATCTTTCACCATGGTGACCTCATGTCAGGATACAACCACCACCCCGTATACAAAAGAGCAGGAAGAGCAGCTCGCCGCTATGAATCCCCCCCGGAGACGGCCATACACGGCCTAGGACGTGACCCCGTGGCCATGGCCGTGGTCCGTGGCCATGAAAAAAAAAAAAAAAAAAAACTTCTGGAAAAAAAAATGTTATGCAAAAAAATATAATGAACAAATTTTGCCTTGTGGTCATATCCAAAAACTTTACTGAATTTAAAATAAAAAACACATACGTTTCATAGTTTTTCTTAAAGAGAAAAAAAACAACAACTTTTGCCTCAGGAAAATTAGTTCTTGAATTTTTAGAATTCAAAGACAAAGTCAAAAAATAAAATAAAAAATTATGCAATTTAGATTTCGAAAAGATCTACAACACCATATTTTTTGTTTTTTTTTGTGAGAATGTTTTAAGTCTAAAAACATTCCTGAAAGTCGCGGCCGGAGTCGTGGCGGCCGTGATCACGGTCGCCCTCTGAGTTTGAACCCACAGCCACGGCCACGGGTGATACATAGGCTCGCCGCCGTGCTGAAGGAGAGAAGTGAGAAGGAGTTGAAGAAGCAAGCCTTATTGGAGGGGCAGGCGGCGAAGAAGAAAAAGTTAGAGGAGGAGATGGAGAGACTAAAGAAAGAAGAAAAAGAGAAGTTGAAGGCAGTGGAAGAAGAAGAAGAAGAAGAAGAAGAAGAAGAAGAAGAAGAGAAAGGGGAGTCGAGTGGAACGACGGAGGAGGAGAAGAAGCTGGAAAAGACGGTGACTGAGTGGGCGGCTAATTTATCCCTAGGAGAAAATGAAGAAGCAATGATGTACATTCCCCAAGATGAGAGGGACACAGCAATAGCGGAGATCCAGGCAGTGCAGGATCCCTTGCAGCGTCAGGCATTGGAGGAGGAGAAAAGGATGGAGTGGAAGTTGCGCCTTATAAGGCAGAGAAGGAGGCGCATAGAGGTTGCAAAAGAGTTGGAGAAAGAGTAGGCCGCCATGAGGGAGCAACATGCACATTTGACCGAGCAAATGGATCTCCAAAACAAAGTGGAGATCATCGGTAAGAGTGTGGAAGTGATGGTCCGGGCTCAACAGGAGCAAATGTATTATCTCAGGTGCCATGATAGTGCTAGTGGTGGTTGCTCTTATCAGCATCCCTAGCAGCCGTTCGGGCAGTTTCTTCAATATACATATATATATATATATATAGTCGGTGAAACTCCGACGAAACAGTTTGTCACAGCCCCTTGTTTGTTGTCCTCTTCTCTCTCTCTGCCTACGGTTTACCGGGCAGTTCTATTTGTGACGATATATATATATACATATATTTATAGCCCTACAGTCCATGCACGCAGGCTTTAGAGATTTTGCGCATGATATTATGATGCGCATGGGCACTGAGATGCAAGCCTGACTAATGAATATGAAGAGGTTTTACAAAGGCGCGATCGAGGGAGTCAAGTTAATAGCTCCAAAGGAGGAGGAAGCCCGCCCACATAGGGAGCCAGTGAAGGTCAAATTTCCTGACTCTTACAGTGGGAAAAAGGAACTGAATTTCGATAACTGGGAAGCGAACGTTAATTCTTATGTTCACCTCCAAAAGATCCTACCCGAGGATCAAGTACTCATTGCCTTTCACGCCCTTAAGGATGAAGCGTCTAGCTTCGCCTGATCGCTTGCCCGCACTGCCAGGTGTGACAATGATATGGTAGCTTACTCCATAAACACCCCCCTAAGTGAAGTTTTCAGGTTACTCCGCGAGCGGTTTGTAGATGTCACCAGGGGAATTAAAGCCTCTGACAAGTTGCAAACCATCCACTCACATTAGTGGAGGAGTGTCAGGGCACTCAAAGGAGTCATAGACGAACTAGTCGCCATCCCAGGACATGGGGTCATTGAGACTCAATTGGTCCAATTATTCTATCGTGCCATGCCTTAGCCTTTGCGCGGACACTTTTTTTAGAAGAGCAAACAACCGACCATGACCTATGATACATTGAGTAGGCAGGTGGTGGCTTTTCAAGCCCAGTCCATGCCAACTTCCACTTTCTGACCTTTATAAAGGCAAAAAGTGGAAAGGTCATACCATCTCAGGTCAAGTCAAGGCCAAGGATCATTTGATCCTTACTCTAGATGAGGATGGTATGGAAGAGGTCCCTTATAGTCAGATTGAATAGGACCTAGAAGAGGAAGACAGTGGCACTAGCCAAGGGAGGACTTATGCTGCTATCGCAACTGGAGGGAAGCCGCAAGGAAGAGGAGGTCGAGGCCAAGGGGGCCGGGCCTCTGGTGGTCGAGGACAGGGCGATCAAAGCGTTGGTGGTAGAGGAAACCACCAATAGGGAGGCAGGGGTCAAGGTCCCCCGCAAAACCGTCCTCGTTTCAACCGATCACCTTCGAGGAGGGGTGAATGGCACCCTCACCTGCCGAAAGGCAGACCCCGGGAAGCGTTGGGCATACATCAGACTGTATGGCAGAGGTAAACAAACGCGGATCAATGCATTTTTTGCGGTGATCCGGGGCACATTATTAAATACTGCCCTAAATACAGAGATTCTTGACGAGCTGCTGCAGAAGCAGCAAAAGGCAACCGCCAGTAGGGGTCGCAACTTCCCTTACACCTAGGCCATGTGGAGAAGAGTGCGCACACCATAGAGAAACTCCCAAACCACATGTGTCTATGGCAGAGGTTGCTGGTCAGTGCCTAGGTAGTTGTCCAGAGACTGCTTGTGTTAGAGTCTCTCTAGGCACTTCCCTCACAGGTCTGGGATAGGAATTAAAAGAGAGGATGCCAGCTTGGGCCAAGCTGAAGAAAAGATGAAAAGGGATAGTTAGTGTTAGTGGATGTAGAGGTTTTTAGAGGCAGGGTAGGGGCCCTTATAGACAGTGGGGCCACCCACAGTTACATTAGTCGTAAAGCGCTGCAGAAGCTGAAGTTAAATTTGAAAGTCCAGAAATGAGAAGAACCTATGGACAATCGCACCATGTGAATCGAGGATTGCGTCGAGGGAATTCAAACATATTTCGCCTAGAGAAAGATGGGAAGGTAGAGAGAGTTATCCATTCCCTGACTCTTCTCGTAGAGGACACTCTCCCACTCGATATGGTCCTAGGAATGGATTGGGAGAGGCAGGAGGGGGAACACTCCATTTGAGAGAGCACGAGTGTAGGATCCCTAGCCCATCAGGTGAAGTCAAGACTGCTCGCCTGCTTATTGTGTCAGGGATAGATAACTCCTTAGCACATTACTGCCTCAGCGCTCTTGCATTCGCAAGGTTAGTGAAGAAGGAGCAACTAGAAGAACAAGTCTTTGTAGCTTATGTTAGGCCAGTTACGGAGCCTAAACAGGAAGAGTTGATCGACCCTCGCATTGCCAAGTTGCTGGAAGAGTATGCAGACTTATCTGAGCTGCCTACCGGAGTAGTGCAACGACCAATCCAGCATCGCATTGAGATAAAGCCTAGTAGTAGGACTCCTAAGGGAGTTGTGTATAAAATGTCCCCAAGGGAGTTGGAGGAGGTGCACAAGCAGTCAAACGAGCTTCTCGAGAAGGGTTGGATTATGCCCAGTTCGTCTCGATTTGGAGTGCCGGTCCTGTTCGTCCCCAAGAAGGAGGGAGAGTTACGAATGTGCATTGACTATAGGGGTTTTAACGCCACCGCAATGAAGAATGCAGAACCACTGCCTTGGATAGATGATCTGTTGGATCGGGTGCAGGGTTGTAAATATTTCTCCAACATAGATTTGAAGTCAGGCATCATTAGATAGAGGTTCATCCAGATGATGAGTACAAGATGACGTTCAAGACTAGATACGGGCACTACGAATTTATAGTGATGCCCTTTGGACTAACCAATGCACCGACCACATTTCAGCGGTGCATGAACGATTTATTTAGGTTCTGGCTAGATAGATTCGTGATTGTGTATCTAGATGATATTATAGTGTTTAGCAAGATCCTCCAAGAGCACGAGGCTCATCTCAGGCAGGTCTTGGAGAAGCTAAGGGAAGCTAACTTCAAGATCAACGAGAAGAAGTGCGAGTGGGCCACGATGCAAGTTTTGTACTTGGGCCATGTTATGGAGATGTCATAAAACCTGAGGACAGCAAGATAGCAGCGATTAGAGATTGGCCGACTTCCCGCACATTGACAGAGTTGCGGTCGTTCCTAGGGTTGGCTAATTACTATAGGAAGTTTGTGAGGAACTTCTTTGTCATCGCTACCCCCTTTCGCAGATTGCTAAAGAAAGAAGTGATCTGGAAGTGGGACCAAGACTGTACATCGGCCCTAAAAAATTTAAAGCGGGCCTTGATAGAGTACCCAGTCCTCAAGGTAGCCGATCCGTCTTTGCCTTTTGTTGTCACCACTGATGCAAGTCAGTACGGTATAGGTGTTGTTCTACACCAAGATGATGACAATGGGTATAGACCCGTAGAGTTCATGTCTGCTAGGATGCCTTCAGAGAAGGTAGCAACATCGACCTATGAGAGGGAACTCTACGCTCTCAGGCAAGCGTTAGACCAGTGGAAATATTACTTGCTTGGGAGACACTTCAAAGTCTACTCAGACCACGAGACATTGAGGTGGCTGAAGACTCAAGTTAAGATGACACCTAAGCTTGCTAAGTGGGCTGATGAGATAGAACAGTTCGACTTTGAGCTCAAGCCTGTTAAAGGGAAGTACAATGTAGTTGTGGACACTCTAAGTAGAAGAGCCGATTACTTTGGGGTTATAGTACACTATCTAGACATAGGGAGAGACCTGCAAAAAAAAGTCAAAGAAGCGTATGCGCAGTACCCTATCTATAGCGACCTCCTCAAGAGAGTTAAGGAGTCTCCAGAGTCTGAACCAGACTACCGCACTACAAAAGGGTTGTTATTTGAGAAGACTAATGTAGTTGATCGACTATGCGTTCCCAACAGTGAGGAGATCCGTAGTTTGATCTTAGGGGAATGCCACGACAAAGAGGGACACTTCGGTTGGCAAAAGACATTAGCCAACCTCGTTCGTGCGTATACATGACCTGGCATGAAGGCTGACTGCATAGAGTACGTATGCAGTTGTAAAGTATGCCAAAGGAATAAGACCACCACACGATCCCCTCTATGTCTTCTTAAACCCTTGCTTATTCCCTCAGGGCCCGACGAGTCAGTGTCCATAGATTTCATGGATGTCGGGGTCCGGAGTAGACATGGCAAGAGCCAAGTCATGGTTATAGTTTATAGATTTAGTATGTATGCAGTTTTTGTCCCTTTGCCTTCAGAGGCACGCACAAATTTAGTAATAGAGAAGTTCTTCGATCATTGGGTAAGTGATCATGGTCTACCGCTGTCCATAGTTAGTGATAGAGACACCCGATTCACTAGTCAGAACTGGCAGGAACTGATGAGAGTCTATGGCTGTAAGTTGTTGATGTCATCGGGCCGCCACCCAGAGACCAACGGTCAGACTGAACAAATGAACAAGATGCTGCAACAAATTCTTAGAATGTATATTGGACGTGATCAAGTCAACTGGGATGAGATGCTTCCCAAGGTATCCAGTGCATATAACAACAACATGCATTTAGCAACCAGTCGCACCCCCAACGAACTACATAAGTCCTTTAGACCACGTAGGTCGTTTGAGGGACTGAACCGGGATCAGATACAGAGGCTACCCCCCGGTACTAGGGAGTTTGCACTACAACACGAGAAAGAGATTGCTACCGTGATAGAGAATCTCGGGAAGGCCCGACATAAGATGATAGAACAAGCCAACAAACATCATCGCCCATCGCAGTTCCAGGTAGGCGACCTAGTCTGGGTCAAGTCTAAAGAGTTTGCTCTTGAGGAGAACATCTCACAGAAACTGTTACCTGCTTATAGAGGACCGTGGCCAGTCCTAGAAGTTAAGGGCGGAGAGGATGGACCGTCCTACACAATAGAGATTTCAACACACCTCCACACCTACCCAGTTTTTCACGCGTCAACGTTGTTGCCTTGTACTACGAGTCACCAGTTCCCATCGTGGAGGTCCATGATCCCTACGGATATGGATGGAAGGTACGACATTGATCGCATAGTAGGTGAGGATGTATTCAGAACAGGAGGTAGGGGTCGTCCATAGAAACAGTACAAAGTCAGATTTTCTTATCAAGAACTGGAAGACGGCCGCTGGTTTACCCAAACCGAGCTTCTAGAGGTTGCTCCCGATGTAATCCAAGCCTATGAGAGAGATAAGAAAGGTAAAGGTCCTGCCTTGGACTGAAGTATTCTCAGACGACCTCGAATTTAGGCCGGCGGGAGTGAAATGGTTTTCACCTTCGTGGTAGCAGATGCAGAACCCAGGGCTCGATCCCTAGACCTGCCCTGAACCCGTGTACAGTATAGTTTACCCCATCTAGGTTTGAACCCAGGACCTGCCCCTAAAGTTGTCTGTCTAAGGTTGTTGTACATACGAGAGTTGAGTAGGTTCGAGCTGCTTAACTGTAGGGTAGGAGTCATAGCTTATGTCTGGTCGTAGCTGCTGTAGGTCTGAAGGGTCAATCTTAGATGTAGGTGCTACAGTACCGAAAGGGCAAGTAGGAAGGTCTGGAGTCTTCTAGGACTGCCCCTTCGAGAGTCTCAGAAGCAGTCCGTAGACTGGGCAAGTGGGCAGACTTACCAGGTCCAGTTAGCAGTACCCAGCCCCAGTCACTCTTTGTCCAGTCAGCAAGTACCATGTGGGACTGTGTACATCCTAGGCCCGATGGAAAGGAGCAGACCAGCGACCAACTGAAGTATAAATCAAGAGGCAGCGTCCAGTTATTCATTCATTCAGACTGTGAGCCGTGCGGAAGCGGCCTGAGCGACTTGTGCAAGGAGGTCTGCGAGTGCCCTAGGAGGAAGTGGGCTGGAAGGGAGACAAAGCAGCCCCACTAGTTAGTGGTAGAGGTAGCAAGCAGCCATAGCTGCGCTAGGTCAGAGATAGTCTACAGCGTGTTTGTGTATGAGTGTGCAGTGAGTTGCGTGCGTGTGTGGGACATCCGGGGAGATCCAGAGTAGTGTGTGTGTGAACTGTTGCTGAGGATAAAGCTTGGAAGGGAGTTGTGACGGCTCGCAGGCGCCATAGCCATTCAAAGCAAATTGAATCTGAACTGTGTTCTTGTCCACAAGATCTCTGAGTTTTGTGTGGGCGCATGGCGCCAGTGCGATTGCCATCTGTTTTCATGCATGCTGAATAAGGAAGAAGACGAGTCTGATTTCGTAAGGGACAAAACAGTCGCATTACATAAACCATATTTTGAGGCCGATTTTGAGGTGCCTGGGGTTGAAAAACCATATTGAAACGGTTTTCACCTGTCTGCAGTCACAGATGCCGGCCCTAGAATTCGATCCCCAGACCTCACTTTGCCCATGTACAGTATCGAGTCGACACCCGAGTGTTTGAACCCATGATCTGTGTCTTGGCAGTACTTGTCGTCGGGTCGTAGGTCTGTGTAGTGGTAGAGGTTCGATCTGTAGGTCTGTGGATTAGGAGTCACAGCTTTGTAGAGGTCGTAGCTGTAGGTATTCTGAAAGGTCAAGGTCGTAGCTAGGTCAAGGTCGTAGCTGCTACAGTACCCGAAAGGCCAAGTCCACAGCCTTCCGGAAGGTCCGGAAGTGGCCTTTCGAAGTGTCTCACGTTTAGTCAGAGGCAAGTGGGCAAGTGGTGAGCCTTTAGTCAGAGGCAAGTGGGCAAGTGGTGAGCCAACGGCGTTACGTCGGCAGTGCAACTGCATCGAGTTGGCAGTGCAAGTCAGCGGCACTGGTCCCAGTCAGTCGGAGTCCAGTCAAGCCAGTACCGTATGGGACTGTGTGCACCAAGGGCCTGGGAAAGGGGCAGACCAACGAGTTACAGAAGTATAAATCAAGAGGCAGCGCCCAGACATTCATTCATTCGCTGCGTAAGCCATGCGGAAGCGCTGCTACAGCGTCTTGTGCGAAGGTGGTCTGCAGGTTGCCCAAAGACAAAGTGGGCTGAAGAGAGATTGTAGCCAAAATCAGTAGTGGTAGTGCGGCCATAGCCGCTGTAGGAGGGAGTTAGACATAGTGTATGTGTGTGGCGGTATTCAGGGTGATCCAGAGTGAGCGTGTGTGAACAGAGGGGTTGGACACAGGGATGAAGGTTGGAATGTTCAGGCGCTGATGCGCCATAGCCTGTTGAAGAGAACTTGTATCTGAACTGTGTTCTTGATTTCCATATCTCTAAGATTTGAGTGGGCGCCCTGCGCCAGTGTGAACCTCCATCTGTTTGCATGTGTGCGAAGTGGCAAGAAAGAGAGTCTGATTACATTGGTATCGGAGCTGGTTCCCGTTACCCCACGCGCCATCGCCATTGCCAGCAGGGAAGAAGACGTGCGCCAGTGGGCGCCATAGCTGAGGTGCACCGAAGCAAGAAGAATCCGCCATAGCTCTGTTGCGGAGTGAGGTGCCGTGTACCTGCACAGAAGACAACGACGACGAAGAGAGAGAGAGAGAGAGAGAGAGAGAGAGAGAGAGAGAGAGA